TCTGTTCCAGAGCATATGCATGACTGCCAGTCTTGAGTTGCAGTCTTACTAACCAATAGAGTGAGCGCACCTCCGTTCTCTCCAATCAGCACTGCTCTAGCCAACTGCATAAACGCCCACCATAAAAAAAAAACCGAAAGCCGGAGAGAGACAGAGTGGGATTATGGCGTCTAGCGCACACACAGCCTGTGTCTGTGAATGCTTCCCATACTCGCTCCTCTCTGCCCCACACGGCGCGAATCCTGCGTCACGGAAGAGCCGTTAATGCTTGCTGCACTCACGCAGCCTGTCTCGTAATGCTCGTTTATACTCGCACCCGGCTCCGCACCGCAAGTCTTCATGAGCGCATCTGGCAGTATGGATGAGGCTTGACGCACGCGCGCAACCTGTGTCGACTCGCGCATGGCTCCGCGTTTAAAACGAATGTAAATTCAGTCTAACTGCTTGCTAATTTCACTTGGATGAAATGAAACATTCAGCACATTTTCCACTTGTTCTTAAAATCCCAAATACTTTAAAATGGATAAATCAGCCTATGTAACATATGTAATGTTTTAATAATTGACTTAAAAAATAGTTCTTTATTTATTAAAAATAAACAAATATTTGATGTAATCTGCAGAATTTACACTTCAATTATGAGACTACAGTGTGAAAGTGAAAGTGAAAGTGACGTGACATGTGGTCAAGTATGGTTTCCCATACTTACCCGCAACCTTTGAGTTACGAGTCCGACTCTCTAACCATTAGGCCACGACTTCCCCCTGTCGTCTCAATGACTCAATGTATTTCCCATACATTGAGTGCAACCGTCTAAGCTGTTCGCCAATCACAACGCACTGGGACAGCTAACCAATCACATCACATTTCGGAAGGCGGGCCTTCATCAAACCCGGAACTAATCGAGCCGTTGGGCCAGGATGGTGAGAAAGGTATTTTAATAATGTAAATTATGTAAAAAATAATGGGTTTTTCGAACCACCGAGCATGAGAGCATGTTCTAGTACAGCCCCAAAACAAATTCAAGACAATGTAAAAGAGCATAATAGGACCCCTTTAAGCCAAAATTGGCACTCTTTTACTGCTAATTATTTATTATACTTATATTATATGAATTATAATCATGGGTGCACATAAGTGGTCCGCATGCGCGACCAAAATTAGAAATGCGCTGTGTAAATTAGTTCAGAGCGCGCGTTTGCGTACTGACATGGTTGACAGCTGTTACTGCACAATTACCATTTTAGATCGACAAACTGTACTGTATAAGATTTCTATTCAAACTGAAAGCATAAATCTAGGCTACCCGCTAACATTTTCAAAGCACAATGCAAAACTATGACATTTCATTCACTGACGCTAAACCCGGAAGAGCATATATTTACTTGCTGCCAACCCGCCAAAATAAAAGCTTGGTGATTTTAAGTTTGAAAATGAAAAAATAAAATAATTCAAATAAAAAAATAATAATTAAGGTTCACATTAAAATAATAATAATAAAAAAAAAAGTATAAAAAATATTAGCATTTTATTTTTGTTTACTATAAAATAATTGTATTTGTATTTAATACTCCCTTTTTATTTTAAAATAAAATATTATTATCACACTTTATTATTTAGTTTATTATTTTATTTAAAAAAAAAACTAAATAAAGTGCAATAATATTATCACTATTATTAATTTATTTGTAAATGTGAGGACCAAACCAAATCTCCAGGTTCTCATATGAGAAGCAGGCTGAAAAACTTATGTGCACCCCTGATTATAATTATTTATAATTCATATAATACTTTCATGTTTATTATATGAACTGGCAATTAATATTAAACTTTCCATTTAAATTATTTTAAATACATATTACATATAAATAAGCTTTAATATATAAATCTTTTAAAATGACTAAACTTGCATATTTTATGTATGTAGCTGTTTGTGAAACTATAAATTATTAAGTTCAAATTAAGAGTCACATATTTTCTTTCTGCTGCCTTCTCAAAATTTTACTGCAGCAGCAGTGCTTATTCCTGCCTTGTAAATGCATTTAAGAGAAGTGAATCAGAGAAGTGAATTATGCAGACTCCTGTGAGAAGTGAATCAAACTGATCACGCTCCATGTTCCGTGTGATTGGCTGTTTGCTGCACATGTCACACTTTCAGGTGCATGCGCACTTGAGTTAATCACAAACTCTTGAGTTGACAGAGAACGTTTATATTGAGACCTCTGAATTTGTCATTGAAAGACTTATTGGAAGTTTTGTTCATACATCAACTGAAAACAGCATAGACTAAAATGTTGATTCTTGGGATGTCAGAATCAATATCAGTGCATCAGAATGAGAATCTAATAAAATTGATCATTCATTATTTTCCACCCAACACTAATCTGAGCTGAGAGAGTGAAGAGTGTGTCATTGTTCTCTACAGGTTGTGGGATTGTGGTGTCACAGCTGAAGGTTGTGCTGCTCTGGCTTCATTTCTGAGCTCAAACCCCTCACATCTGAGAGAACTGGTTCTGTCTTGGAATAATCTACGAGATTTGGGTGTGAGGGTTCTCTGCACTGGACTTAAAGATTCTCACTGTAAACTGGAGAAACTGTGGTAAGATCATCTCTCTGACAGTCACACACGTTTTTGTCCTCAGTAAGACGTGTCCTTTAATGTAAATTCTAAAATCAGCTTGGAAAATAAATGTTCAGTAAACACACTAAATCTCAGCACAAATGATCTCATTACACCTTGAATGTCTCTATTCAGTTCATCATATTACTATTCAGTTTATAAGCTGCAAAAGACCAAGCATGACAGTTATTATATCTTATTTAACTGTTCAGTCCTGAAGCACATGACAGTTTCAAACAGCACCATTGAGCATCAACATTGATAAATCTCATTCTATCAGCAGCAGTATGTGGCAGTGCTTGTCATTATATCGCCACTTCTGCTCTGAGACCAGAAGCAATGACAAACTACAGACACTTCAACTACAGTTCACATTTTGTCATTCTCTACAGGTTAAGAGATTGTGGCATCACAGGTGAAGGTTGTGCTGCTCTGGCTTCAGCTCTGAGATCAAACCCCTCACACCTGAGACATCTTAGCCCCTTTAAAGCTTTTTTTTTTTTTTTTTAAACAGGCCTCATGTGTGTGTAATTGGAGAATGTTTTAATTCAGCTCCACTTTAGTCTCTGTACTTTAAATTGTATTTAATGAGAGTTTAATTCTTACATTGTCTCTGTGTGTAAATGATAAGTTTTTCATTCATATCTCAGGCTGTAATATGAATATTATAATATCTCTGGCTGTGTTTTTCCTCTGAAATGAATCTGCTGATGTGATGTGACGGCAGTAATGTCTCATACTCATATGTGACTGTCCGTGTGTTTTATTGTAGGACTCTCAGTATTTAGACGTCAGTCCAGTTTCCTCAGGATCAGCTGCTACAGAGACACACAGTCACACGATCAACAGAGACTCAAGACACAGAGACACACAGTGATCACTGTGATTTGTGACTTTGTAATGTAATTTTTCTCTTTTTGCAGGTATTTTTTTTATTATGAAATAGCTTTTATAATGATCTTACACTTGTGCTAAAATAAGATTGTAATATTTGAAAACATTCTCTATGCATTTGAGGTATAGGTGAAAGCATTTTAGATGCAGGGTTACTGAGGGAAGGAATTGCTTTTCTTCTGCCTTACCAGCACAAAAAAATGCTAATTATTTCAGTATTTTTTTCTAGTACATTGTCAATTTGATGTTTGATGATCAAAACACACACACAAAAAAACCTTTATTATTGCCATAACAGTGTATGCATTTAAAGAATTAGCAAAGCTATTAACATTTACTATTATTGACTATTTACGTAAATAGAAATGTTACAGTTTGATCTCTTTTCCTTGTCAATTTCAATGACATTTGACATTTTATAATATTTTATATACTTGATTACTTATGATATTAATGAACGATGTACTTCTAAGAGTACTCTTCTAAGAGTACTTCTAAGACTCTACAGTTAATAAGAACCCACTCGTCACAATAATTACATTCCTCCCCACTTATGCAAAACAATCTATTAAGGTATAATATTGTAAGTATGGTGGGATTTGTTGTCATAGTATTTTAGGGAAAAACTACATTCAAGGGGCCTTATTGTTCCCTATCTTAGAGAAATATTTAAAGTTGTTAAACGTGCAGAGAGGAGATGGGCAGAGTCACACTAATAACAGAGGAGGTTAATCACACATGCAGAGAAAGATACGACGAGTCTGATTATTCCAGACGTTACAAGTACTACAATATGGAGAGCTGCTCTGAGGAGGAAACAGCTGTGCTGCAGCACAAGGTCATAGTTCCATAATCCTGCGCTGTGCGACGCTAGATTAAAAACTCTCCGTTTTGATTAAGAAAGCAGGTTTAGAGGATTACGGTTCAGTGAACAAAAATGAAAGCAGTCTTATACTCAATCCCAGAGTTCATCAAAAATACAAACCTCAGACTGTCATCTCAACCACAGATTAATGCAAAAGCTCCTTTCAAGCTTCTGTGCAGCTCAAACTCATTCAGCAGAAGAGATGCTCTGTGGAAAAAGCATCCTACACTACACCTTTACCCTTCTATGGAAGCCCATTTCTGCCACATAAGAAAAAAAAACAAGCTTTGAAAAATCTGAATTATGAGATAAAGTCATAATTATAAGATAAAAAGTCAAAATTATAAGATGTCATTATGACATAAAAAGTGAAATTTTTGTCACAATTATGTCATAATTACAATTCAGTCATTTCTTACTTTCTCAACTTTTCTCATTTATTTCATAATAATGACATAGTATGTCATAAGTTTGACTTTTTTTGACTGTCATACTTTCAACTTTTTAATTCCATAATTTGTCATTTATTTCATAATTAGGAATTTTGATGTCATCATTCAGTCATTTAACTCATAATGACAGTATGTCATAATTTTGACTATTTATGTCAATACATTTTTTATCTCATAATTACGACTTGGTGTCTAATGATTATGATTTTTTGTCATTTTGACTTTTTAACTCATAATTTCGATTTTATTTCAATTATGACTTCGTATCCAATAATCTTGACTTTTTATCTCATAATTATAATTTACCAAAGCATAATATTTTTCTTCTCTGATGGAAATGAGCTTCCATACTATTCCCTTGTTCACTAACTAGACCAAAAAACGTGTGAAAATTAGCCTATATCATTTCCTTTCATAGGTGATAAAAGTTGATGAAAAAAAAAGTTTTGTAACCCCAAAAAGTTTTTTATAGCAAAGAAAAATGTTTAAACATTTTAGCATTAGATCAAGTATCTGTATCTGCACTCAATGTTTCCTCGATTTCTTTTAATTATTATTATTTTTTTTTTACTTTTTTTTTTTTTTTTTAAACAGGCCTCATGTGTGTGTAATTGGAGAATGTTTTAATTCAGCTCCACTTTAGTCTCTGTACTTTAAATTGTATTTAATGAGAGTTTAATTCTTACATTGTCTCTGTGTGTAAATGATAAGTTTTTCATTCATATCTCAGGCTGTAATATGAATATTATAATATCTCTGGCTGTGTTTTTCCTCTGAAATGAATCTGCTGATGTGATGTGACGGCAGTAATGTCTCATACAAAAGTTTTTTATAGCAAAGAAAAATGTTTAAACATTTTAGCATTAGATCAAGTATCTGTATCTGCACTCAATGTTTCCTCGATTTCTTTTAATTATTATTATTTTTTTTTTACTTTTTTTTTTTTTTTGTCCCTGACAGAATAAATAATAGTCAAAAGCAGAGAGAAAACAAGTGTGTACATTTGTACCCAGTTTTGAGGAGGTTGATGTGTTTGTTTCACCTTCAGGTTCTTCACATGGACAAATTCAAAAGGTCTGAAAAGGGTGAAAGAAATGAGAGCAAGACTTTTTCCATTCAGTGTCCTTTCACGTAAAACCCCCAGCGCCTTTGGAGGGAGGCAGAAATCACACACACACTGTACACAAGACATCTGATCTGATCTTCATTTGCATGGAATCATTTCACAGGTCTCTTATGAATTCAGAGATTATTCTTTTGATGGGTCGAGCCCTGAAGCCAGCACTCATAATAATATGGAAATTGTGAAACATGAGAGGTGAAAAACTGACAAAGACTAGCACATTCACTACAGAGTATATCCTCTATCAGAGGTTTCAAGGAGGATTTTACCAAACCTGTGGAGAGATGTCAAGCCCTCGAAGCTCCATAGTACCTCCATACAGTCACCTGATCTTCAAATATTCAGAAAAAACTTGTAAAGGCTTACAAGAAAGCAATAGTTCACCCAAAAGTGAAAGGTTTCAGTCACCAAACAGCAGTGGTAATGAGTGCTGAAGCATTTGGGACAAAAGCAACAAAGCTATTGTATGACTTGAGAAATATTGACTTGAAATATTTAGCATAAGTCATGTGAACTACTTTTATGATGCTTTATTTTTTATTATATATAGATACATATATATATATATATATTTTTTTTTTTTTGGAGATTGAAAGCTTAATCACCATATGAACTGAAAACACAACAAATTTGGAACAAAATGAGTAAATGACGATTTTCATTTTTGGATGAACTTTTCCCTTAAAGCTGCAGTACGTAACTTTTGCCTCTTTATCGCCATCTCTGTTTGAAACATAAAAACGCAAGTTGCTTCGGCACTGCTCCTGTGCGCGGATCAATCGGTGATCACCACAGCACACATCAGAGCGCATCTGTCATTGCACATCCACATATGTCCCACTAGGCATATATCTGGAAAAAAAATCATCTGAACAAGTAACATTTATGCAGCAGAACTGCTCTGACGCATAGCCAACAGAAAAGAAGTGCCACTTACCTCACTGACCACAGCAAAACGACAAACACAACAAAGGAAGCTCAATACCTATCTGAATCCAGCGAACAAGTGCTCTAATGTTAGCTAGATGCCTGTTGAGCCACTGAAATGACTTACCTGTTCATCACTGCGTCAGTTCTGAATGTCTTCAGATCGCCGCTTCCTAAAAGGGTGGTTGATTGCGATTTCACTTTTTTAACGTTAGTTAGTGTGTAATGTTGCTGTTTGAGCATAAACAATATCTGCAAAGTTACGAAAGTTCTGAAAGTTGAAAGTTCAATGCAAACGGAGATATCGTCTTTTAAAATTCTGGCAGTTTAATGCCTACAAAAACGTCTGGTAGGGACTACAACACGTTACTTTCCGGGTTCGGGACGTAACAGACCCAGATAAACCCCGCCCTTGCGTTTCTCAGAGAAGGGACAGAGCGGTGTGGAAAACAGGTAAATTATGTGAAAAATAATGCGTTTTTTTTTAAACTAAGCATTAACACGTTAGACTGCACCCCATAAACACAATCAAGCCTAGAAAAAAAAACAGTGAACCACCCCTTTAAAAGACATGCAGATATTTACTCTCTTTTTGGCACAGGCTTCTGCAGCATTTTGACTACGGACGCTGCAAAGTTTGAGGTTTCTTAGTTTTGACACCAGGTTCCCCAGATGTTAACGATGATTGTTGTTTATAACTTATACCAATTAAAAGCAGCCATCGAGATGACATGTTTAAATGCAGCTGTTGTAAGAACAAGCTACAAATGCTCCAAACTCATGCCATAGAATTAGCCGGGTCTTCTTTCTGTTTACGGACATGACGTAACCACGCAAAGATGCCAGTTTCCCACGAAATCGGACCCGACACCTCAAATTATAAATCAATAAGCCTACCGTTGCGAATCGAGGTAAGATAAGGCTTTCCTTAATAACCGATTTTTGTTCATTTTTAAGCCAAAAAGTTACATACTGCAACTTTAAAAAAGGGAGTTTAAGAAATAACAATGCAGAAGCCCATCACTAAAGAGGTTCAATAATAAAATAGAATTCAATCACAGCCCATGGTATTTTCAGATGCAGAAGACTGGATGTCCATCCCTGAAAGAAACTTTACATGCCAAAAATCATTAAAGCACTTATCAAACTACAAGAGGCAAATAATAAAAAGGAAATAAATCAAGAAACCAAGGAAAACACATATATTGTGCTCATAAAGAAATAATTTCAAAGTGATAAAATATTTATATGCATTTTCATAAGTGTCAAACAATACAAAAGCAGAAATGATGAAAACATAAAGACAAAGTCTTGCACCTGTAGACTGAATAAAATGTAACCAGCCTGTTAATTGGAGGTTTTGTCCTAAGAAAAGAGCCATGACATTTAGGTGTGTTGCGCATTCTCAAAATTCCCCCATATTGCATCTAAAACATCACATATACTCTGTTCAGCTATGATTTTGTCACTTCGCTCTGCATTTTCAATTTGAATGAGGACAGAAAAATGACTTAACGCCTCACGTCTGGTTAGGACTCATGTAATGCTGGTTCTTCGTCAGCATTATAGACATAAAAAAGGGTTCGTATACACACGACTTTAAGACAAATGTTACCAACAGTCGTTAAATAAAATAAGTCATTTCATAAGAGAAAGGCTAAGACAGTCAGAATGAGCCTTTAAAGGTGAAGTATGTAATTTCTACATCAAATGGAAATGCAAAAAAGGTTTTCAAACAGGTTTCCCCATCTACTATTTGACATTTCATGCATGTTAAAACAGTAATGTTCCTTAAAAATAACAAATTAATCATCATTATTGAGAAACTACTCTAAGTTCCATTTTGAGAAACTGATGATATTTTAATGTTATACATGTGAAGATTTTACTGTAAAAATGTTTTAACTGAAAAATACATAAATCTAACCTATTTAGAGATTTTCCAAATAAATGTATCCTTTTTTTAAACCTGAAAACCACACTGACTTCCCCATATTGCAATAAATTTTAATTAATTTCACATAAAAATGTTTAAAAGAAAAAAAAAACAGAATAATGTTGTTTGCACTCTTCTGGAAAATCAACCTATGAATCAATGATGTATAATTGACTCATTTCAACATGAAAAATTACACACATCACCTATAATAAAACTCACAGACATGCCTTATCATAAATTAGATTAAGGAGGAATATGTCTGTAAAGAATAAAACGTTCAAGTCTTTTAAATCTAAATACAAACTACATGGGAGTGAACTACTCAACGATACAGTAACTGGCGTAATAGTTAAACTGCAAACTTACACTCCTGTCTTGATTCACATCTCACTGACAGATGCCTTTTTGTCCATCTGAAAATAAAAAATGTTTAAAAAAAATGTTGCTCAGTATCCAACGTCGCCACCAGTTCTCACACAGCTGACATCATACAAGTAATGTTTCGTCAGCGTGTTTGGATTTAATAAGGTCGAGGAGCAAAAGTACATTATAAAACTCCCACTGACGTCCTCTGAAGTCCTGCGTTGTCCACCATCTCCATCAGTATTTTTTGTGCCATTCACACTGTCCCACGCTCACCTCCTCGATGTCCAGGTTCCTCCTGGACTTATAGATAAACTCGCCGATGGCCACGAACACAGACAGGACGAGTCCAGCCGCCAGCACGATGAAGATTCCTCCGATGTTCTCCACTCCCAGAGCGCTGGCCTCTTTACTGTCCTCCTCAGGACAGCCGTTTCCTCGCCACCACTTCTCCTTCATCATGTGCAGTTTCCCCTCCTCCTGTAACTGCAGGATGGCGATGGTCACCTTGTCACGATACGGGGAGCCTGAGAGAGACCCAGAGTTACTATCATTAACTAAAACTGAAACCGTAAAAAAACTAACATTTTTGTTACTAGAAATAAAATAAACTTTAACTAAAATAATAACAAATAACTTATTCATTTCAGCAAGTTGCCAAGGTTTTTCATTTTTGTTTAGTTTAATTCAAGGTTATTATATTTAAATTAAACTGAAACTAAAACCATAAAAAAGTAACAAACAAACAAATAAAATAATATACACTATATATAAATATAGTCCATTTTTCTAGAAAGTGTGACTACTAAATATTTTCAAAATGACAGAACTTCTATTTTTCAAGTTTAAGAAAAAAGACAAAAGGTAAAGTATTAAATGTTTCCATTTCTGTAATCAGCACCATATTATGCTATATGTGCACATATGAATACATATGATAAAATATTGCAAAATATCACTTGTCCGAATTATGGTTCCTCTAACTGAAAAATACAAATGTAAAAACTAACTAACTAAATAAACTTTTTAACTAAAAATATCTATAAAGATTTTTTTTGGTAACACTTTACAATAACTTTTCACTTAACATTAGTTAACTACATTACTTAACATGAACTAACAATGACAAATACTTCTAAAGCATTTAATAGTTTTTGTTAATGTTAATTTTAACATTTAATAATAGTTTTACAAACAAATGCTGTATCTCAGCATTACTTGAACATTTTTGACAAATGAGTGTTTTATGTAATTGTACCAATAGGAGTGCCGACTCCGTAGCCCTTTGAGTCGATGAGTCCTCCGATCTGCGTGAGGTTGCAGTTTCTCTGGCTGATGTACTCGATGCTGGTGGACTCCATCAGAAGAGCGTAATCTGTGGTCATAACACGCTGGATTCCCTCTCTGTTATTCTTCACCAGCGCCGTGTTCTTCCGGCTGCTCATGAACGCCCACATCTTCTCATAGGTGGAGATCTTTGATTTCTGCAAAAGATGTATGATTGTATTATAGTAGAGCTCATGGGTTCGATTTTCAACAAATATATACCTTAAATGTCGCTTTGGCAGCATATATCAAAAGCATAAATGAAAATGTTTATATTAATGCAAGCAGCCACTTAAAGGTGTGTGACAGACTTTACTGAAGTAAAAAAAAAAATTATAAAAAATAAATAAAATATAAAATAAATAAAAAAATAATATAAAATAACATAAAATAATACAATGAAATAAAATAAAAAAATGAAATAATAAAATTAAATGAAAATATAAAATAACAAAATAAAATTAAATAATAAAATTAAATAATTTTAAATTAACATTAAAATGATCAAATTAAGTTAAATCATAAAATAAATTAATACAATAAATTAGGATCATCTGTAAAAAAAAATCTTAAAGGTGACATATTATGCCCCTTTTTACAATATGTAATATAAGTCTCTGGTGTCCCCAGAATGTGTCTGTGAAGTTTCAGCTCAAAATACTCCACAGATCATTTATTATATAATTTTGAAAATGCCTATTTGGAGTGGAAGCAGAAACACGCTGTTTTTCGGGCCTGTCTCTTTAAATGCAAATGAGCTGCTGATCCCCGCCCCCTTTTCCAGAATAGAGCTACGCCATTACAGCTCG